TAATTTTTATAATCAAAAGTCAATAAAAGAATGAGATAAGAGATAAAGGGTACGGTGAAAGAAAAACGGAATTAGGAGAAATAATATGAGGAATTAAGGGTTTATATCAAGTTTTCCCTATAAATAAATGTATGTACAAAAATAAATAATAACCCTGAGATGGGAAATTCGTGCAAAACTAAAAAATGTTACTTGAAATTAAACAAAAATATTTTATTTGATACTCTTTTTATGTTAAAAAAGAATTACATGATATTAAGTACTGATCCTATTAAAATAAGAATAAATGCATTTATAGAAGATAAATAATATAAATAAATATATTTACAAAAAAATAAATAAATAACCCTAAGGGGGGAAATTTGTGCAAAACTACAAAAATGTTACAACAATAACAAATAAATATAGATACAACAAACAATGATTAATTCCTCATATCTTAAATCAATCATTTAAAAGAGTCTCTTTCTACTAAAAAAAAGGTGAATACATAATAATTATTATTGATTTACTACAGCAACTTAAATAATAAGAGAGAAAAATAAAAATAAAAACACAATTAAATAAAATTGCACAACTAATCAATAAAAAAAAACAAGATATAATTACAGTAAGATATCAATAAAAATCAATTAAATTAACATCTTTTCAATATCCTCCAATGCTCCAACATATTTTCTCGTCCCCAACATATTTTCTCGTGATGAATGTATTAGCCAAGTGTATGCTCTATTAATTAAACGATCTTTTTACGATTTTAATTTGGGATCACAAATTATCCCGCAATAATCTTGTGGAGAGGTGTTTGAAAGGACTTTGTAACCATAAATAAAAAAAATAAAAATAAAAAAGGATTATCACAAAATAAACATATTATTCCGAATCCTAACATGTTGAAACATGTGATTTTAAGTTGAGAGTTAAATGCATCCAAAAAGCATGTCTGTTAGGGGTGGGTGTATGGTGGTTCTATAGACCACACCATACACTTTCTTCGCACCCCAAGCACCAACTTCGAATTTTTTTTATTTAAAAATTTTCAAAATGCCTTTGAATTTTCCTAGTGAGTGAGTGTGTATCCATGTTTCTGTTTGTGTTTCTGTTTCTGTGTGTATCCAACTAAAAATAGGCTACATGTTTCAAGCTATTAACTCTCAATAACTTATCTCTTTAAGCCACTTAAACCACATTAAACCAAAATAATTCCATTTAAAATGACTAAAAAAAAAGAATGCAATATGTTTTGTCAACCAACTATGTCCAAATATTATTATAAAAAAAAGTTTATATAAAGTTACAACCTTAAAATGTAGAATTAAAGATGCACTTCCAAAATCCATCTAAAAAGCTTGTTTTAATGTTGGAAAACCCTCTAATTAATCATCTCAACATCGAGATGAGTGAATATGAAAAAGAAAAAAAGATTTTGAGTCCTAAAAATAGTGCATCTTACAACACATTATCTAGTCTATCCATTTTCAAGACTTTCATATTTTTATTGATCTACTTGATTTTTACCACTTTTGAAGTTTAAAATTTTATAATTAGATATGAAAATAGATTTTGAGATAATCCTAAGAATTTTTTACACCGATTAAATGTTACGATACAATACCGATTAAATGTTATGATACAATTGGTAATGGGATATTTGCCCCTACCTTAATTGGATTGTTTAAGGTGCAACCTTACATAAACAATACCCTTATTATAATAATGTAGGTTAATATGTTTACATGCAACTCACAATTTAGATAGATAAAAGAACAAAACAATTGAGAAAAAATTGAATAGCGTACAATATTACAGTGGAAAATAAAAAAGGAAAAAAAAAAGAAAAAAAAGACCGATAATTGAGAAACAAGTGAAACACAGTTTGAGCATTTGAGGGGAAGTTAACTTAGACCATCACTAACAAGTTGAAGGACCATCATTAATTTCAATAGTTACATGTTATGCCAGTGAAGCATGTGACAGACGACTACGCATGAGACATTGGACTTCAAGAATCTTGGAAGGAAAGGCATAGAAAAAAGAAAGCATGAAATGGTCCACTTAATTATTGTTTTTCATTACCATGGTGCTCCCTATCTTGAGGGTGCTTGGGAAGCAACTTAATATATGTACTACCTTTTTAGCAAATCGGTTGGGATTTATTGAAATTTAATTTGTAATAAAAAAATCTTCTATAAAGGAAAAATATTCAATGAGACAATTTATTTTAGGTACAATGTGGTCACAATTAATCTTGACCATTGGATGTGAAATTAGATGGCTGCATTTATTCCTTTGATGAAGCTCAAACTTGAAAAGACATTTTCTCGAGGGTGCAGTTAACATACATATGCATCTGTAACTGTAGAGGTAAGGTGCATCTTC